TCTCTCTCTCTCTCTCTCTCTCTCTCTCTCTCTCTCTCTCTCTCTCTATCACACACACTCACCCATACACAGGTTCACACACACGTATGCGCTCACACAATAGAGTCCAATCTAAGGGAGACAAGAGGATCCAGAGATGAGAGCCACTCCAAACTGCTTAGCTGTCCGTGTGAATAGGCCGGTGGATTAGATGTAACCCTTTCTGTCATGTACACGCTCATTTAGAAACGCACAGTCTGACACATTCACACAGCCGAACAAACACAACTGACAGGAAGCTGAATTAAAAATAACAATAGGATTTTTAAAAGGTTGAACATGCACACAGTTGTTTGTCCTGTTAACAGAGAACCTGAACCTCTTAAGCCGATGCCACAATAAGAATATCTCTATAATGAAGGTGGCATTTATTAATAATAAGTAAAGCCCCAGCATTCTTTGAAAGATCGTGCATCGCCCGCCACCTTTCATGTCACTGATTTATTGATTGGTCATCAACGTGTGGTATGGAGGCTGCACAGCTGCAGAAAGAAAAGCTTTGCAGAGAGTGGTGGAGACTGCACAGAAAACTGTTGGAGTCAGTCTCCAAACCATCACAGACATCTACACCTCTAGATCCAGGAACAGGGCCACCTGCATCATGAAGTCAAGCCAAGTCAACTTTATTTATAGAGCACATTTAAAACAGAACCGGTTATCAAAGTGCTTAACAACACAACAATCAATGAGTAAATTAAAGAGAAAAAAAATATAAACATATACATACAATACACTAATAATAATAACTGAAGAATTAAAAAAGCTTTTAAAACCTTTAAAACTTTAGCATTTAGCATTTAAAACTTCATTTAAATGAAGGACGCCACTCACCCAGCACACACTTTTTGCCTCGCTCCCCTCAGGAAAGAGGTTGAGGAGCAATAAGTATAGAACCACTAGACTGAGGAACAGCTTCTACCCTGAGTCTGTTAGACTCATGAATCTCTAACCAGAATAATCACTGTGAAAAATCACATCATGTTGCTGCTGAGCGGCGTACTGTTTTTATGCTATTAGTGCTTAGCGTATTTGTAGTCAATATTTTTCTTAGTTCATATCTTATTACTGTTTTTCTTTTACATTTTATTGTTGGATGTAACTGGGACCCTGTGTACACAATTTTGTTCCACCACATGTACCACATATGGTTTGTATGACAAATAAAGAAACTCTGACTCTCTTTAGACTAAAATCATCTTGTGCTGAGAAATAATGAAGTTGTAGTCGTTTCAGTCTAATTCTAAAAACAAAGTTTTGTACAACCCATGTGATATGTTACATTCAGTGTATGTGTTTTGAAGGACTCTCAGCTACTACCACAGCTAAATATAGCTTAATAGCATTAAAATTCATTGAGTTGTAGCCATTTTAGGGTTGGTAATGTGAATTAGCTAAACCATTAAGCAGAGATTTTGTATCATAGCAGTCAAAGTGTCAAGCTCCAGAGTTTCCCGTGGTTGTTTTGTGCCATCATCTCTGATTTAAGATTTAATTATTACAACAAATAATGCAATACAAAAAGCTGGCGTGGCAGCTACTTACAAAATATCTTCAAGTAAAACCTGAGTTTCTTTGCATTTATCCTGATATCCTGGTTGAAAAGGAGGAACCCAGACCAGTGGTCATTCCGTATGTTGAGGGAGTATCAGAGAAACTGAGACGTTTATTTTCTAAACATAACGTCCCAGTGGCTTTTAAACCCCAAAATACATTAAAGCAAAGACTGGTTCATCCCAAAGATCCAGTCCCCCGGCACAAACAGAGTAATGTTGTGTATGCTGTTCAGTGTCAGGAGGGCTGTGATCAGTCTTACATCGGGGAAACAAAACAGCCACTGGCCAAAAGGATGGCCCAGCACAGAAGATCAACATCATCAGGCCAGGACTCTGCGGTCTACACTCATCTCCAGGCCAGCGGTCACTCTTTCAGGGATGAAGATGTTCACATCCTGGACAGAGAGGAACGATGGTTTGAGAGAGGAGTAAAGGAGACCATCTTTGTGAAAAGAAATCGTCCATCATTAAACAGGGGTGGAGGCCTCCGGGCTCAACTGTCCCCCTCTTACAATGCTGTGATTGCTAGTATCACTCAGCCCTCTGTGAATAGTACACAGCCATCAGTGTGCTAATGATCCATTGTTAGGCTGATGGTCCTTCTTGAGCATGTGATCAGCTGGTTTTGGTTGTCAGCAGCAAAAATGGTTGATCCACTCAGAGAAGGTGCTATTTATAAGACTGAGCTGAATACAGCACCTCAGACTGAGGAAGTCTCTCGTATGAGAGACGAAACGTTTCTATATTTTTTTGTTGTTTTGCTTTGTTTTGTTTTTTTGAATGTCCAGAGGACCAGATTGAACTTTTTTGGATTCTTTTCATTTAGTTTTCATTCGGTTTCTTTTCATTTTCTTGTGTTAGTCTTCATTCTTGGGTCTGACTTCTACTACCAACTATAACATGAGGTACTCGTCATTAAAAACTCAGCTCTCACACTTTATTTCAGCACATCTGTGTAATTGACTGAATTCAAGTCAGCTTTGTTTTTTTCTAAAGTGAGTTGCTGTAGTGACCATCTTGAATTGGTTTGACTTGAAAAGTTAACCAGCTGTAGATGTTCATCAAATGATTTTTGCAAATTATGTTAATATTTAGGTTCACGGGATATTTGGCTAATAGACACATAAGCACACAGAAACACACACAAATACAAGCAAAACCATTGTCTGCCTTCTCCTTTCAGCAGTGGCTCATAATAGAGAAATTGTAATTCCTGCAAAAATGCTGTGTGACTGCTTATTGCAGAAGAACTTGCTGAAAAACAGCTGTAATTATCTAAAAAAAAGAATAAAAACATGCTGAAATTTAGCTGAAATGGAAGAATAATCCTAAATTAGCAGAAGAAAGCAGAAAGAAAAAAGTTTGCTGAATTAGGTTTAAATATGGAGAAATTAGCAGAAAAATTAGGAAATCAATTACAAAAGCTGAAATGAGGAGGAAAAAAAAAAAGCTGAAACATAGCTAAAAAAAGTAGAAAGAAGCTGAAATTGAATTTGAGAGTGCACAGGTTTGCTGAATTATGCTGAAAAAGGTTGACATGAGTGAAAAAATTGTGGAAAGAGGGGAAATTGGGGAAAGAGTGATTCTGAAAAATGTACAGAATAGTAATAGTGGCTGCAAATAATAATATAAATATAAACAGGATCACAATAAGCATTCACACAATGATGAAACCAACTACTAAACAAACACCAGCCACTCCTGTATTTTTTCTCACATGTAGAAGTGCTAGTTACAATTGTTGTGGTTATGGGGAAAGGTTGCGAACAAGCAATATCTTACATGTTGTAGATGTTGTAGAACAAGCTGAGTTTGATAAATCAGAGTTCAATCTTGACTGGATCGACATGCGAACAACTAGACTGGATGAGACGAGAACAAAGTAGATATCTGCCAACCAAAAACAACTCCAGACTCAAAATAATTGGGGTTTATTGAATTTTAATACATTTTTAAATGGCTATGAATTTTACTTTACACAGTTATTTACTTTGAACTCTATGATTATTCGCCAGGGCAAATAGCAGCAGCAAAAATCAACGTTAGCACTACTGGTGTGGTCTGGGGTAGCTCTTGGTTGAAAATCAAGATTTTTGCCATGCAAGGGAAAAATGTGAAGTTTTATAAAATAGTTTTCACATGAATTGCTATGAAACATTAGAGAATGATGTTTTAAAATGACAGCTGATTTTGTCTTGACCCCACTCTATTAGTCCAATCAGAATTAAACTGTTTCTCTAAAACAAGGCTGTTCAGACAATAATTGCCTATTAATTCTCCACAGAGTCCCACTTACCCACTCTTTAGCCAAAGCAGACATTAGATTTGGTATCATTTTGGACACATTTATTTATTTTATGTCTGTTCTTTCTTATTAAATCTGACTTTTGGGTGATTTATAAAGAAGTTAAAGCAAATGTTTTCAGTGTTGCTTATGAATGACAAAGCAGAATTCTGCTAACAAAGAGCCAACAGATACATTTACCAGAAACTAACCTCATTTCAGGGGGATCATGACCCGTCGGCTGAGCAGCTCCAGTCGTTCGCACACTGAAGACTCCATCTTCCTGAAACCCGAGGAGGACCCTGTCTGGCTGGATGAACCCACAAAGATTGAGAAATTAGGTGACAGAGCTCCTAAAAAGGATGAGCTCCTTGACTGTAAAGACAGACCGACAGGATGTCAACACCCACATGGAGAGGAGATGTTTGTGGTCAGTGTGTACAATGTGGTGATCGAGATTCACTGCTGGGTTGCTCTGTTTATCATCTCCCAAGTCCTGGTATGTAAATCAGTCATGGAAAAAACTTGTTTTATATAATTATATATATGGTTATGTTTGGTAACAGAATTCTAATTCAATTTTAGCATAAATGAAGCTTTTGCAAAGCAGATTACTCACTTTTTTGGTTTATTTCTGTAATTACAAAAATTTAATTTTACAGTCTGCAAATTTGTAACTCTAACTTCCCTCCCGTCTTCTTCTCAGGGATACTGGGTGTTTTTTGTGCTGGAAGGAAATGGACCGTTCTCGTCCATCTATAAAGCCCTGCAGGTCATCGAATCCTATTTTAGTTTCATTTTACCGTACCCGCCAATTTTTGGAACGGATGTAAGTATCATTTCTGGATGTGACCTTTGGTGCAACAGATCATTTTGGCTGTGAATTGTTATTGACAATAATTTTGGGATCTCTGCATTGGTTAGACAATGATGTTAAAAGAGATGGAAAACACCAAACATCACAACTGGGTTGTCCAAGGCACATCGGGTGTTGGTGTGGTCATCGGCATTATCATGGTAAAGTATTGAATACATATTTATTCTAACAGTCAAAACGGATTTATCGGTTTTTCAAACTTCTGGTCTATTTTACTTATTGTGAATGTTTAAATATTAAACGTAGCTTCAAGGAACACATTAAATAGTCAACAAATTGTGATTTCTGCTAAACAGCCTTGTGAATGCTGCGTCTGAATGATATTAACTGAAAAAGGTGAAACACAGTATTAGCAAAATGTTATTGTTGTTAAAGCAAAATACAAGCTAAATGCTAAAATTAGCAAAAGCAAAGCTAAAAGTAGCAAAAGCTTAGCTGACAGCTGTAGATATCAAACGTCTTAAAAGGAAATAGCAGATAAATCATAGTTAAAAGCAGTAAAAGATTAGCTAAAAGGAAAACGTAGCAAAAGGCTAACTAAAATGCTAGTTGGAATTTGCAAAAGGCTAGGTCAAAGCTAAAACTATAAAACTCTAGATTGAAGCTAAAATTTGCAAAACTTTGCTTAAATATCCAGTGTTTAGTCAAAAAAGGTTAAGATAACTAAATGCTAGAAGTAGCAAAAGGTTGGCTCAAAGTAGCAAAAGATAAGCTAAAAGTATCAAGTGCAGCTAAAAGCTTAAACAGTAGCTAAAATCTGAACATAGCAAAAGGCTTGCTAAAACCTAAAGTAGCATAGGAAGAAAAAATAAATCAAGGAAAATTGTCACACAATTAACAGAGACTGTGATAGTTATATAAAACTTTTGTTTGCATAGGAATTTTTTTTTCTTCAGCTTATTGACATGAATGAGCCTTCATGGAGGGAATTAATCCAGTTTACAGCTTCATTCGTTTTGCTGGTGTCTCCTCAGATCATCCACATGCTGTGTAAGTGGCGTTATGGCACTGGCTTGTGGTCATCAGAACCAGTGTCCAGGAACGTTAGTGACCGGCGTCAGTCCGTGAGCCGTCAGCCCTCCTTCACCCTGTCTGAATGGACAGACGCCCAAGAGGATCTGCTGGACCTCGACCCTGTGCCTCAGACTCCTGTCTTTGACATGGGCACAGACAGCAGAACGGAAGGAGACGCCTCCACTCTCACCGTCACACCAGTTGGGCTTCAGGAGAGGTTAGAGCAAGTTTGTGTAGTGGAAAAGATATTTTGTGGCCATTTTTAATGCTAAAATGTACGCATCTTATCAAAGTGTATTTAATCCAAAATTTATGTAACAAATGTGTTAACAAACCTCTGGTATGTTCAAACTAACCTTGACCTCATCAACCCACAGGAGAGGCTCCAATGTTTCTCTGACGCTGGACATGTGCACACCAGGATGCACGGAGCCCTATGGCTACGGAGCCCAGCTCTCTCCCAGAGACCAGTCGGCCCAGGAGTACCTCCGACAGGGAACACACATCCTGACCCCTGCAATGCTGCACATGAGGGCCATGGATGACCAGAGCCTCCAGGCTGAGTTTTATGTGAGTACAGCAGCAGCTCAGCCGCCTACACTGTAGATTAACTCAGACTCACCGGAAGAGACATACACTGACACACAGACGCAGGCACTAATATATACACACACTGACACACAAACACCCAGCAGAACACACCCGTAAGCTTTTCCGCTGCCTGTCAGTGGGCGAAGGACGAAGGGCTACAAGTATTTTTGCGTATTAAACCTTCAGAGAATTGCAGTGTCTGCCAGGCAGAGAGATGTGGAAGATCAGACAAGCATGATCAGAAGCCTTTAGGTCAGGAACAATTAGAAAGAAACAGTTTGGCAAGAAGGAAACCGGGTAATTTTATGTGTTTAGACAATATCATCTGCTGTCAAAAGGCAAAGGCGTTTGATTGTTTTTGTCCATCTGTGTCATCCATGTATGCATGTGTGTGTGTGGTTCTGTTACCACAGTACCTCATGAACCACCACCATCAGGACTTCCTGGTTTCTTTCCTTGACACCAAGCCTATCCACAACTTCATCTTCCCCTCTGTTTCCTTCACCATCATGTCCATTCAGGTCCTTGGGAATCCTCTCTACCACTTCATCTATATCCATCCAGAATTTCTCTTTCTCCTTTACCTTATTTTCAACCTGTGGAGCATAACCACAGACAACATTTAGCACAAGACCTTCTACTTGTACCTTCAGGCACATCACCCTATCTGAAACTATTTTCACCTCTACTATATTCCCTGTAAACTTCTCCCTCAGGACACACACCTACTCCTTATCTCTTTCTATCCATGCCATGTTCAAACAGTTTCAAACCCTGCTCCAGTGCTGTGAGCCTTGCTGCCTTTCCACTGGGTGTATTGCATACATAAAAGATTTACCTTCCTTCTCTGCATCATGTTGGCTAGCTCTCTACCTTTGCTTGTTATTGCACTAGGATTAGAGCTGCTTCAATCCTACACTTTTGACTTTTCTCTTCTCCCTCTATCTCCAAACATGTTTCCCTCCATGTGGTCTTCGACTAATAGTAGCACAATTTCCACCGGCACCCTGTTTGTCAATTGCACAGGCAGTGGTTAACCAGGGTCTTGACTGATCTAGTTGAATGTTAGACAAACTCACATGTTTGTTTTTGGCACAAGTGTTTTATGCCAGATGTCCTTGCTGGTATTTATGGAAGGACAGATTTTTCTTTAAGCATTAATATTTTTTTTTTTCCCCCTCATTGTCAGGAAACTCCCATGAACTTTGTGGACCCAAAGGAGTACAATTATCCAGGCCTTGTGAGAAAGAACCGCTATAAAACCATTTTACCAAGTAAGTACAGCTGCAACACGAGACTGTGACAGATTATTACAGTCCATAAATGTTCACTTTAATTAGATGTATTGCCAATCATATTTTTCTTTTTACAATGTTTGTGTCCACCTAGACACACACAGCAGAGTCATCTTGAAGTCACTGGATGAAGATGATTTTCTTTCTACATACATCAACGCCAATTATCTCAAAGTAAGTGAAAATGCTTGTATTTAAGGATGAACTCAGTAGTTCATGTGGTTTTTGAGCCATTTTTTTTTTCTCAAACGCAGGCACGTGTATTTGTATTTTTGTTTGTGTGCAGGGTTATGGGGATGAGGAGCAAGCATACATCGCTACGCAGGGTCCCACTGTGAACACAGTGGGGGACTTCTGGAGGATGGTGTGGCAGGAGAGAAGCCCGATTATAGTGATGATCACCAACCTGGAGGAGAAGAACGAGGTCACTGCGAAAACCTGACTTACGATGATGAAAGTGCCTTTTCTGCTAAATAAATAAATAAAATGCAGCGTGAATGCAGAGTGCTGAAGGACTTTGCTCAAATCTGCTGAAGAATGATTTGTTCCCTGACCTGTTGAAGTTAAAACAAGCATTATTAGATATCAAAAATGTACAGAAGAAACTATAAACAGGAAAGCAATAGTGTCATTGCTAAATCAACATTCATATCTTTGCATATTATGTGCTGTAGATTTATTCAAATGGGTAAATATATATCTTGTGTATCCATCTGAGTAGAAATGTGCAGAGTACTGGCCCGAGGACACTGTGACCCATGAGGGAATAGAGATTAGCGTTGTGTCGGTGACCCAGGAGGATGACTACAGTCTGAGGGTGTTTACTCTGAAGGTAACTCTGTCAGCATCACACAACAAGGAGCTGATTTGATACTGGTTAAAATGTGACTTCTACACCATGGTGCTTACCAAAAGGCTTATTCCATTTGACTTGTGAAGTTAAGAAATATCAATAAATAAAATTAAAGTACAGCAGTCCCTCGTTTATTGTGGGTGTTAGGTTCCAGAACCCCGCAATAAGTGAAAATCCATGAAATAATGACATTATATTTATTTTAGTATTTATATATATTTTAAGACTTTAGAAACTCTTCCCACACTCTTGCAATGTTCTAAACTCTTAAACATATGTAATTTTAACAACATGCGTACAGTACAGTATGTGTAGCTACTAAATTTTACTTAGTATCTCTGCAGAACAGCAACACTGTTGCTGTTCTGCAGAGATACTAAGTAAAATCTCTCGGTTCCGGTCCGACTCGATTCATTTCTGCAGATGTACACGGCAAAAACAAAGCCCACAACCAATTGTTCTAAACTATTAAACCTACAAATTTTAACACCATACTTAAATGTAGCTACTAAATTGTACTTACGTCCCGCTCTGAAGTTCTCGTGAGTCGGCTACCAGCTCTTGAGTTTCACCGATGGCTCTGGAGGTCTGGTTCTGCTCCGGTTCTGGTCCAGTTCAGTGGGTTCCGTGCTGCTCTCTGTATCCACTGGGCACCGAAGTCACTGTAATAAGTGCCAAACTTTTCCGATCAGATCAAAACTTTCCCTCTAGTATTTCAGCAGAAGGAAATGGGGCTTCTGGGCAGGGCCCTGTTGGCTTCTGGTGAATGTAGTTGTTATGAGTGGAAATACAGTGTAGGCTTATTGAGAGAGAACTACAAAATGGTGGTGCTTGTCCAAAGTATTTTATTTTTTCAAATTTTCAACTAACTTTTACTGTACAGTATCCCATAATATCCCAATCATGTGAGTAATATTAAAGTTGACAATCATGTGTTCTGCACCATTTTTATTTAAATAAGTTAATGTGCGTTGACAAACCGCGATATAGCAAATCCACAAAAGTTGAACTGCAAAGTAGCAAGGGACTACTCTAATCAGTTCTCTCATGCACAACGTCTAGGAAGCATTTTGATTCAGAAGGCCCATGTTCAAACCAGACTTCAGTGCATTTTCTCAACTCTTACCTTACTTCAAATTTAACATTTTCTTATAGGTTGTTTTGCAATTGGGTTTTTTAGCTGTCTTCTAGTAAAAGCTAAACAAACCCTGTGTTTTTACTGATAATTTACTTACAGTAATGCTGTCTGACTTGAAAATCTCTTGGTTCCTTTTTGCCTTTTTGTTTGAAACCACTTGAATTGACTTTTGTGAGTCTTGTCCTAAATGTAGAACCTCTTCAGTATGAATGAGAACATCCATAAATTGTTCGTTATTTATCAGATTATTTAAAAAAAGGTAAACATGTGTATCTGAATACAATTTAACTTGGCTCTTAATGTCTCTAGAACTCCTTATTTTACTAAAACACCTGCTCTTAACATGATCTGATTTAAGTTTTCTTCTGTTAAAACAACAAATATCTATTTGATGGAGAAAAAAAACCATGATGTGGCTTTTTGTTTCAGTGCCATTTATGTGTTTTGGATCATTTATATTTAATTTGAGATCAGGGTGGCACCAGCACTTAGCAAATACAAACATGATTCAGCTGATGCAGCCTGTATCAGATAAATAAGCACTGAAGGATCATTACATGATGTGCTGCGAGTTAAAAGTGTTTTGTTTATTTATCTCTGGCTCTGTAGTGTATCTGTAGCAATAATCATTAGTGACTAACATGAATGATGGGAACTGCCAAAATGTGCTCAGTATTGTCAAGGGAAGACGAGAAAAAACAAGTTTGTTAACGCTTTTATCTAAAGTGTGTTTAGCTGTTGCCTTAGTAACTCTGACCAAAATAACATTTATGTGCAAATGATTAAATATTTATGCTTCACCATTACAACATGAACACATTTATGCCGTTCTGAGTGTATGTATCTGTGTATCAGTGCGAGGAAGAGGAGCGCACGCTAAAGCATTACTGGTACACCTCCTGGCCTGACCAGAAGACCCCAGACAAAGCTCCGCCCCTGCTGGAGCTGGTACAGGAAGTGGAAGGAGCCAGAGAGGAAGCCCCGCCCTCCAGTGGCCCAACAATTGTCCACTGCAGGTCCAGAATTTGTAAATGCTTGTTTGTGGTGAATGATGTTGCTGAAATTTGCTAAAACGGAGTTCTTAAAGCTAAAACGAGAAAAAATCACAAGCTAAAAGGAGCGTAACAATACCTACAAGGTAAAATCAACATAGCAGTACCTATAAACTAAATTCAGCACAAAAGTAGCTAAATGGTAAGTCAGAACAATAGTAGCTTAATGTTAAAAACAGTAAAAATGTACTTAAAAGCAAAAATTTGCAAAACTACCTAAAACAGAAAAACAGATTGTTGTGGGTTGCAAGATTGAATAAAAGTAAAAATCAGCAGACACGGCTCAGCTTTAGTTTTCCTTCTTTACTTCCTCACTTTCATTTTTTTGTCATCACACTGCATAGTATATTTAACAGTCTTAGACCGCCCTCTAGTGCCCTTTCTATGCAATAACATTACTTCTGCAGAACACAACACAGATGCCAAAATAAAAATGAGAAACAGTAGCTAAGATTAGCAAACCTGTAGACAAAAGTTAAAGGTAAAGATAAAAGAAACAAAATGGTATAGCTAAAAAATTAAATTAGCATAACATCTAAAATTAGATAAATATTAGCTAAAAGTAGAAAAACAAGCCAGAGCTAAAGCTAGCAAACTGCTAGAAAAAATTGGCCATATTGTAGTGAAAATTTTAAAGAACCTGAATGTTAGATAACAACTAAAAGAAGCACATTTGCAAGCTAAAAGTAGCAAAGTAGCACAACAGTAGCTAAGGTAAATTCAGAACAATAGTAGCTTAATGTAAAAACCAGTAAGCTAACATTGGCTAAACTAAAAATAAAAACATCAAAACAGATGCAAAAAATAAAAATGAGAAAAAAGCTAAAATTAGCAAACGTAGCTAAAAGTTAAAGATAGTTAAAGATAAAAGAAACAAGGTGGTACAGCTAAAAACTTTAATTAGCAGAACAACATCTAAAATTAGCTAAATGTTAGCTAAAAGTAGAAAAACATGCCAGAGCTAAAGCTAGCAAACCAGTAGCAAATATTTACAATATTGTCGTGAAAACTTTAAATGACCTGAATGTTAGAAAACAGCTAAAAGAAGTAAATTACTAGCTGAAAGTAACAAAAACTAAAAGTAGCTCAACAGTAGCTAATAATTTAAAGTAGAAAAACTATAGCTACTAGTTTTGCTAAAGTAACAAAACTATAGCTTCAAGTTAAAAATAACAGAAAAGAAGCTAAAATCTAAATGCTGCAGTAGCTAAAAGTAGCATAGAAAGGCAAAATTGGAGCAATTATGCTGAAGCAGATATTAGAGAACACTATTTTGTAAAATATAAATGATCCTAGTATATTTCTATGAGGAAACTTTAAATAAGCATTTTTTAAAAATTACAAAAGTTACTAAAAATAATAGTTATTGCTGAATGTCCTTATTTTAGCTGAATATTTTAATATAGCTCAAATTGTGCTAAAGTAGTTACAGCAATTGAATTAATGTACAAAAAAAAAGAACCCATTAAATCAACTGAGTATTTGTTACCAAAACGGTTGATTAAACAAAAAGTTTGCTTCTTTTTGCTTATGTTTGATACTATAGAAACCATAAAACCTGTTTAGTATTTTTTAGCTGCCCTCCTTATACTCTGATTTTTTTCACAAACAGTTTAAACAAAGTCAAAGTGCTTCTTGTCATTAAGGCACTTGATCTCAGTTCTTGTTCTTAATTTTCTTCTTCTTCAGTGCTGGAATTGGTCGAACTGGCTGTTTCATTGCCACCTCCATCCTGTGTAAGCAGCTGAGGACTGAAGGTGTGGTTGACATCCTCAGAACCACCTGCCAGCTCCGTCTGGACCGGTGAGATACAATTACACTTTATTAATGTGCATACTTTTCTATATATCTGGGATTAAAATCAGGCTGATGTGGTTAAATTTTGTTTTAAATCTTGAGGGAACACAAGCACACAAATAGAACTGGCACGCAATACTGCTAAGGCTAAAAATGTTACAAAGTTGTTAGCTCAAAATAAACACAATATTTTTGGACTGTTGTTTTATTTACCAATGAATGCATTTATGTTGTGTTGTTTTTAATACATCCTGTCACTAGAGGGTGCTGCTGTGGCAGCAGAGGGCAACAGAAACTGTTACAAGAGAAATACAGAGGAATATTCAGATTCTGTTACGAACTGCAATAATCAGTTACTGTAATAAAATCCCTGAATTTAACTGTTGCCTTCTATTTCATCACAACCTCCACAACATAAAAAATTAGGGTCACACACTGATATAATAAAAAAGAATACACCAAACGTATGCCATAATTATATTTTATGAATGAAAACAGCCATGTCTTATCCTAAATCATTGTGCCTCTTCATTTTATGTGTTTTTCAGAGGTGGGATGATCCAGACGTGTGAGCAGTACCAGTTTGTGCATCATGTCCTCAGCCTGTATGAAAAGCAGCTGTCTCACACAGCTGAGGAGTAGAGGGAAGGCTGACCGCCGCGCCCTGACCGAGACACACCACTGTACACCATACCACCCGCGGTGGTATGCTCCATCATCACACAGTGTCACCCTTTAACGACTTCAAACCATGTTTCTCTTCATCAGACGGGTCTGAGCAGTTCACATTCAGTCTGTGCTTATTGTTTGTCTTTGACTATTAAACAAAGAGATAACCTGTGAAAAATGTAAAGAAAACCAGAATGCAATGATATTCGCTTCTCATAGACCTGCATTTGTTTCACAGTTTAACACAGTTAACATATTAAATGTTTTAATTAGGAAAGTGCTACCTGTTTGATGTGCATTTTTATTTTATTTTATGGCCCCATCACATCTCCAAAAGTGGGAACAAAGCTAACCCAAGGCAGTAAAAGTGTGTATTACAAACAAGAAACAGATGGAAGTGCTTCTTTTTCCCCAAAGAATTAGGTTCACTGCCAACTAGTCAGTGATGGGTATAAAAAGAGCATTTTACAGAGGATGAAGTGAAGATGGGCAGATGTTTACCAGCCTGTGAAAAGTGTGCTGAAAATTCAGAATAATGTTCCTCAACAGATAATTGGGAAGACTTTGAATATCTCACCACCTACAGTTAAAATACCATCAAAACATCTCAAGAAGACATCTCTGAGCTCAACAGGCTGAAAGTTAATATTTCCGTGATCTTCAGGCCCTTGGACATGTCAACAAATCATTATCTGTAAATACAGCTCATCATACCATCCACAATCGCTGGTTAAAGCTCTATCGTGCAAAAGAGAAGACAAATGTAGACACCATGCAGAAACAAATCAAAGTTTGACATTATTTTTTTGAAACCACACATATTCTGTAGTAAAGAGGAAAGGGGCCATTCAGCATGTTATCAGTCCACGTTTCAAAAGCCTGCCTCTCTGATGGTATAGGGGTGCAATGGTGCTTATGGCATTGGGAGCTTATACATCTAGAAAGGCGCCTTTAGTGCAGAAAGGTATATTACAGGTTTTAGAACAACATATCCTCCATCTTTTTCAGGGAAGGCCTTTCAGCAAGACAATGCTCAACCACGTACTGCTTTCAGTACAACATGGAGTAGTTGAGTCCAGACTCTGAACTGGCCTGCCTGCAGTTCAGCCCTCTCACCAGTTGAAAGTATTTGGTTCATTGCACAATAATAATAATTAAAAAAAGTTAAAGAATATTGAGGACTGCTGAATGGCTAGAATCCAACATCAGACAAGAATGGGTCAAAATGTCTCTCTACAAACTCGAGCTGCTGCTCTCCTCAGTTCCAAGATGTTTACAGACTGTTGTTAACAGAAGAGAGGATCCTTCACAGAGGGAATCACAGCCCTGTCCTAACGTGTTTGAGAGATTTTGCTGCCATCAAACTCAAAATTCATTTTCTACGCCTGCAATAAATGGTAAATATTCTTAGTTTAAACCTTTAATGTGATTTTAATGTGTTTCATTGTGAATAAGATCTGGCTTAATGAAATTTGAAAATCATTGCATTCTGTTTTTATTTATATTTTACACAATATCCCAACTTCGTCAGAATTGGGGTTTCAGATTCTGCTGCACCCACAATAAAATAAAATAAAATTACAATTAAAATCCTAATTGAACACAGTGGTATCAGTTCCCACAGAACCAGTCCAAACCTCCATTCCTGCAAAGGTTCGTTTTCTATAACGTTGACGTTCATAACTCTCAGTTGTCAAAGTCTTTCTTCCCTCTGGGCCTGAAATAGCTCCCTTACATAGGATTGTACAGCTATCAGAAGGTTAGATCCAAACTGGAGCGTTGTCAGATCGCCTGCAGTGAAGTTTGCTTTAGGAAAATCTAAGTTCAGTTTAGGAAAGTTAGTGCTGATAGTAAAGGGCCATTTACAGTATAAATGCCAGCATAGTGTTTCAATCAACAGATAATCAAACTCCAGCCTAATATAACAATATAGTGATGTAAAAATTAACTAATATCTAGCTTTTTCACTCTGATTCTATTTTAATGTTTATATATATATATATATATATATATATATATATATAAACATTAAAATAGAATCAGAGTGAAAAAGCTAGATATTA